AAAAGTTTTTAAGTTGGGTTCAAGGAGTCTTAAGCCAAGGCACTTGTTCTCGTATCACTCTCTATCTCTGCTAATAGCAGTCAGAAACGCGTCTAGTAACAGTTTCTGTTTGTTATTCACCAAGTAGTTTGATTATTTAATATTTATTTAAGTCTTTTTAAGCAAATAAATAAATGTTTTTCACTCTTCTTCCCACGACTAGGTACACGGTTTTTTGGAGATTTAATCGTACTTTATTATAAATGTGGATGTTGCTTTAGATAATTCATTAACAAATAATGAAACATCTTCATCATCATTAGAAGATGGTCCATTTGATTTATTTAAAGACAAAAACAGTACTGAATTGGCATGTATCAAACAGTATCATGATATATATTGTAATTGTAATTCAATTAACCAATGTATTCAGACATATCGACGGTGTATAGTAAATGGTCAAACACATCATTCATTAGCTTACACAAGACGTCAAATATCAACTAGCTATTTCATTCAGTATAAAAATTTAAATAATGGACATCATATGTTTGGTAAAATTGTTTTATTTTTTAAACTTGGACTTCAAACACGTGCTGGTTTTGAACAATTTACAATCAAACATGAATTTAGTTAGTTTTTTAGAAAGTCTGTTTATTTTGGCTTGCTACGTAAATCTTTAAACAGTTTTGTTTTCGTTTTGAACAAAACTCTGTTAATAAATTACGTATGTATATCGTTTAAATCCATTGGTAAACATTGTGTAGTTTTTGAAAATAAAAATAATGATTATACTATCGTGTCACCAGTATCTTCACACGAAGAACATGATTAAAATTTCATTATTGATGCTCTTTTTGTTGTATGTTCGTACAAATTAGTGCATTTTTTTGTGATCTGAAAATTGTTTCGGTGTTTTAGTTTTAGAAGTTTAGAATTTATTTCGTTTTTTGTTGTCTATAGGAAACGACGATAATGTTTCGTTAGATTGTGTATGTTACATGTTCTCAGCTGCATTTCATATTTGCTCTAAGAGCATTTTTGGTATAAATTCCATACAAATTATTTCATTTCACAGATTTCTCGTTAAAAAAACAGTAATTGGTTTTTCGATCACCGTGTTATTCGAAATAGCTTTTCGGTTGTTATTTTTTAATTAAATATCATTATAAACAACCTTATGTGTTGTTTCACTTTATCTCTGTATAAAGTAAGATAAAGTATGGAAAGCGCAAGTTAGTTTTCGAGAAGTGTTAGATAGAGAATATGACTAACACTGTAATAAGAAGAAAACAAAGTAGGACAAGGACGGCGATCACAAACAGATCTTGCAATATTGGTTAAAATAAACCGTTTTTTGTTTTAATTTCAGAGATATCATTCTTTCTGTTATCATGACTACTACGACAAAGAGACTAATAGGTCGTAATCGTGCACAAAAAAACATTTACACCACTGATGGTATTACTACACCACCATTTTATCTTTTGAAAGTACACGAAACTGATGAGTGTGTTATCGTACCACAATCAAGTATTAAACAAATGGACAAACAACAATCAACAGCAACAATTGTTTATCAAAATAAACGCGTAACTACTGATATTATTGTAAATAACGCATAGAATTTTTTCTCTCAATAGCACGTAGAGTTGGTTTGTCTACGTCGACAATACGTCGTAGTGTGGATAAGACCGTCGAAGATGACGATGATGAAGAAGATATTTATCCACTATGTATGTAGTTTTAGGATGCAATACCCTTTTTTATATAAAATTACAGCATAGATTCAATAAATTTCATTTGAAAACGAATATTTTTAGTTCGTCGTGGACGATTATTTCGTGGAAGAGCACTTGGTCGTACATCTTATCGCCATATCAATGTTAACGAACCAGATATTTCTAACGTGTGTAGCTTAATTATAGAATTTTTGAATAGCAAAATTCTCACTAAGAATGAAACTATTTCATTTTATTTTGTAGTATTGAATTGTTCATTTGAACAAACAAAAACAACAACAACATCGCCATCCTCCTAAAAAAATCTCTTAATGAAAGTACAAATTCTGTATCTTGTAAGTGTTTAGTATTGTGTTTTTATAAGCTTGAAAATACCTTTTAAATAATTAACCTTATGAAAATGGTTTTGAGCATTTTCTAAAATTGGCAGGTTATTTATCTTCTTAGATATGGGAAAGCGTAAAAAAAATGATATAGATGATACAATTGATGAACAAGGTATGATATCTAATGACTTCTTCGATTAATTTGCTATCTCGAATTTTCTACAACATAGTTTATTAATGTTAACATGTTTTTGTGCGTACTGCTTGTAATATGAGTTGCAGTTTCTGGAATAAGCACCTACAAGTACAAAGATGCAAAATGTTCACTGAAATCAAATCTTTATTATTTTATAGACTACAAACTCCGACTTATCTAACTTCGTCAACTAACTTTTTTTGATGACTTTATGAAAGCAATAAGTAGAATCTATATCATACATGTTTTTCTTCTTTTTACTATTTTAAAGATCCTAATTTACTTAAACAAGTAGCACAAAAAATGAATGCAATAGGTAACCAAATAAATCTTATTCATGAAAAATTTGCACATATAAGAACAAAACAAAATGTGAGTTACATCTTTCTTACTTTAGTTTAGTTAATGCTTTATAGAAACCGAAGCATTTACTGTACAGTGAAAAAAGAAATCATGTTGAACTATTTATTTTTAGAATGATATACATGTTGATTTATATCGTGCACCAACAGATCAGATTATACTTGACGCTGTTGTAAGTTACATTACTTTAAATCCAACCTTATACTTATTTGAACTGGTATTCATTCTGTTTATTTTACGTTCGTTATAGATGTATAATGATGAGAATTTACTTGATACTTCTGCATCAAGTTGTAAAGATTTTGCAGAAAGAGTTTTAAGTAAATTATACACACGTGATGAATTAGCTTATTCGGTATTACCAACAGGAAGAACATGTTATTCACGTTTACCATTAGATCCAGAAAGATTTAAAATTTTCCATCGTGAGTTGCTTTTCAATGTTAAACGAAAATTTAAGTATTCAATCGACTGAAGTTGTTAGTCACTAGCTTTTTCTTTTTGAAAGCGTTTTTATCCAAAATAAATATCATATTCGTAATATACATCCAAAACTTGGTCGAATCCAGATGAAAGTCAAAACACTTGACGAAAACAATTTTTTCCAAAACTTCGATAAGGGTCAAAATTGAAAAAAGTTCTCTCCAATTTTTGGAGTTCACATCATCTGACACAAGTTTTGATTATATATTACGAGCATGATATTTATTTTCAAAAAAGAATGCTTTTGAAAATAAAAGAATGCGCCCTCATTATAATGATGAAGTTTAGATAAATTTTTTCTGATGTTAATGTCTAACAAAAGAGTATATGCATCTATGATATTGAAATCAAACAGGGCTTTAATTTTTCGTTCATCCGTAACTTATCTTTTTGCCACCGCTGTTGATGTCTTAAGGGTACTCCTCTCCTCATTTTGGGCTTTCCGTAGAAATGTTGTGCAATAAAAACTAAAACTCACCAGGGCTTCATATTTTCAGAACTGATTGGAAACTCAATGGATCACTTTTTCGTTTTTGTTTCAAGTTTCTAACTAATGCCGTTCATAAGTTTTTCGGAAAACTCCTTTGTTTTCATTGGACCACATTATGACGCTTCTAAAATTTCATCCGATCGAGTTAAAAATTTTACCCGTGGTACTCAGGGTCATAGCGCAGAGGTATAATTTTGGAATTTTATTTTAGACCTTTCTTTACCGAGTTATAGGATTTTTGAAAATTTTTCGGTATTTTTCCTATAACTTGGTAAAGAAAGGTCTAAAATAAAATTCCAAAATTATACCTCTGCGCTATGACCCTGAGTACC